GTATTTGTAATGCATTTTTGAATGTTCAGTTGGCTGAGTTTCATGTTTAATGAATAAAGTATATAATAATAATAATAAAACAGGCACATTAAATTACTATTTGGAGATATAGCGATGATATTTACTTTGCATCATGCTCCCCCCCCCCAATAGAATTTACTACCCAACACTGGTGGGTGATAAATGCATTTGGATGCCTTCCCCAAGTGACCTATGACTCTCTCCCAAAGATCCAACCTGAATGAATTCTAGTCTGGCCAGCTGTCATAAGTCCAATTGCTGAATACAGTCTCATCCACACTCACGTCCCCCAGTGAGTGGAAAAAATAGGATAACTATTAGGTATTCTCACTTTGCTCTGCCTTTGTGCTGAGTCATTAAGATCTTGAAAGAATTTTTTGGCTCTAGAAGATCTACTATTATTCCCTGCCCGACCTTGGAAGCTCAGCCTGTGTACAGTGCAGCACTTAGGTAATTTTAGATTCTGAATTTAATAGTCTTCTGGGGCCTACCTGAGCATAATACTCTTACTGAATTGGGGATTCTTTACATGGCAATGCAAATTGCTCCACTTACTGCAAAATGTGATAAGCCAGCTTGCTGCGTTTAGTGGCCGTACTACTAAGAAGGGCCGTGGCCTTCTAACTCCAAAGCTCTGGCCTGAATAAGCTACTGCTGAAGTGCAGCTGTAAACACCAGGTATCGGTTTGCAAAGTCTGGGTGTATTTTGTGATCAAGAGAAAATTGAGATAGTGTATCTCATAGGTAAAGGTAAAGGTTCCCCTCACACATAAGTGCTAGTCATTCCCGACCCTAGGGGGTGATGCTCATCTCCATTTCAAAGCCAAAGAGCCAACACATATGTCTCTATGGTCATGTGGCCAAGATGACTAAATGCTGAAGGCGCATGGAACATTGTTACCTTCCCACCAAAGGTGGTCCCTATTTTTCTACTTGCATTTTTACATGCTTTCGAACTGCTAGGTTGGCAGAAACTGGGACAAATAATGGGAGCCCAACCTTTCTGATCGACAAGCTCAGTGTCTTAGCCACTGAGCCACCGCGTGTCCCTGTATTTCATACGGTACCTATATAATTGTTTCTCTGTAGTAGTGATTCCCCACATGATGTGGAATCACAACTTTCAGCATTTCTTTTAAATAGCTTTGCTGATCAGGTTTACTTGAACTTGTGGTTGAGCAATGTCTGAAAGGTGATAGGAACACAGATAAGTCTGGTACCTTCGAATGTATTAAAATATGCTAAACTTCGGTCAGCTCCTTTGAAAGGCATTGCCCCTACCATTTTGTTTTGATAGGTTCAAAGACATTTAAAAAGATTTATGATTATTTGGAACTATAGCTAGCCATAGCAAAAGAAGACCAGACCCATTAAAAATATTTGGCAAGACTTGTCCTTTAGGCCCAGTTTTTCCCCAAAACTTGCACCTTATCTCCCATTGGACTTGCAAACTAATAAATAAAACCCATCATAATTTCCCAACCACATGGTCCAGAATTCTTAGAAAAAAATCCTCAGAAGTTATTACACTTTCCATCAATAGTGAGACACTGGTGAAGCGGGCACAGCAGCCTCTGCATTATCTGCGTTGCATGAGAACAGTACATCTTCCTTCCCCTTCTTCCTTACCACTTTCTGTAGATGTATGATTGAGAGCATCCTGTCATATTGCATTACAGTCTGGTTTGGAAGTATTCCTGCTTTGAATGGGAAGGCAGTGCTGAGAGTGGTAAGGATGGCAGAGAATGGCCTTCCTCCACCACCCCCAGGAGCATTCTGCAGGCTTCAGCAGGGCTGGGGGAAGGGAAAAATGCCCCATTTTGGTGAAAAACTGGCCATTTCCTACCAAAAGAGGGGTGTTTTTGCCTTTCTCCGACCCTCAGCAGCACTCTGCAGGCTTCAGCAAGGCTGGGGTAAGGGAAAAATGCCCCCGTTTTGGTGAAAAACAAGGGCATTTTTGCCTTCCCCCAGCCCTGCCGTGGACGACAAAAACTTCTTTCTTACTTACCTCTTCGAAATATTGGTGTGTCTTATACACCAGTGTGTCTTATAGTCCGAAAAAATATATATGTATATAATGTGTGTGTGTGTGTGTGTGTGTGTGTGTGTGTGTGTGTGTGTGTATGTATGTATGTATGTATGTATGTATGTATATAGCATGTGTATATGTGTATTATGTATATGTACACTTTCAAGAGCAGGCAACAGAATTTCATTCTTAATATATGCCATTGTGCCCACAGTAAAAAATGACAGTAAAGGTTATCTATCTATCTGAGCCTCAGGACATTCCCTCCTTTTTTTTCAGGGCTTCCAAAACTGGATAATAAGTTACCTGCTCTCCAACCCAGTGTTCTGTGGGAGTGACAGTTGCTTTAGAGAGCAAACCAACACCATCAAGGGGTGTCAAACTGGCAGCCTGTGGGCTGGATGTGTCAGACATAGGCCACATCCACTCCATCTCCACAAATGGAAAAAACATCGCAAAACATCAGCACTAACTTACCTGCAGCATCAGAGCTTTGGCTGTCACCACTGGAACAATTAGCATCTCGTTTAGAATCTTTAATTGCCTCTCATTGATTTACTTAGAACAGGTGTTTGGGGATTTTTTTAAAAGAAAACAGGTAAAATGTTTTTTTAAGAGAAAGACATTACCCACAGTCAGCTAAACAACAGTAAGGTAGTGATGACATGAGGGAATAAAAAGGAACCATTAACTAGAAGCCTCTCAATAACTTAGACTAGAGCTAGAGGTATGCAGAAACTACAGATGCTTCAATCTCTAGAAATCCTAAGAGTCCACTTTCAGCAAAGTTCAAATCTGAACTATCTGGAATCCATTTCCCCTGGATGGTGAGAACCTCACAAGTTTGGGAAAATAGGATTCAAATCTTTCATGTCTTTGCAACAATTCATTTATTAGTCTTCCGAGCTTTTGGACTCATGTAGGAGCCTATCTTCAGGGAACTTCAGGGAACTCATCTTCAGTGTCACACTCTGCTAGAGAGAAGTTCTCAACTTCAGAGAGAGGTTCCCTAAAGATGAGCTCCAGCAAGAGTCCAGAAGCTTGGAAGACTAAACCTCTGGTCTTGGTGATCAATCCAAATTGGATCCTGCAACATAATCCTAGGACATTTGCCTTCATTCATTTCTTATTCTTTTTTTATTTTAAGGGCACTGTTACACGCAAACTTTGGGATCAGATAGCACAGCACATATTGAAATATTCATCTTAATTGCCCTTGGAGTGAGGTCTTCTGCAGTTTATGGAGAAGAGAGGAAGCATCAGGACAATGGCGCCAGCAGATGCTGTAGGAACAAGCATGCAGGCAGTAGGAGACCATCTGTTTCCCATAAGAGCCCGCAGCGGCCAAACTGCTGCCACTTGTTCTTAGGCAGTGCTACTTTTAGCTTTGTCCTAGGGAGCACAACCAGTAGCTTCTATTAGGAAGGCAGCCATCTACCACCACATGAAAGAGTAAGGAACACAGGCTTTCTATTCTCCATTGCATTTTATCTTCCTATCACTAAAGAAGCATTCCACTTTTTTTCCCTTGGAGCCTATTCTCACTATTACATTCCCATTAAGGCAATGATGAAAAAGGTTCTGAAGGTTCAGAGCAAATGCCTCCTTCTACTGCTTGGTGAGTATTTTGGTTCAAGTGTCAAGGAACAATATTTGCCTCAGTGGATGTAATTGGACTGACTGACCTATAGGAATACACTGCTTTCAGTCTAGCATTTCACTAACAAAGGTGTTTAAGGTCTATCCTATACAAGAGTTATTACATAGTCCGTTTTATGTGACTGTGATCATGCCTGAGAATCAGAACAGGCACAGAAAACCAAACATTTGAATCTCTTTCAGGAAACATGTCTGAATATCATGTATTGTTTTGCCAGTTCATTAGTGTATACCAATTAATTCAAGAATCAGTTCATGAATCAATTAATCTGTTCATTAATCTATCAGTTCATTAGTTTACATCAAGAAAAAGCATTCTGTGAAGAAAGCCATTTTGGATTATCCAGTCAGGTTAAGAAACAGACTATAGAAAACACTAGGGAGGCTTCCATCAATGGGAGGGAGCAGGCACTCATCTCTGGATGTAGAAATGAACTATGAAAAAAGAAGAATGGAAGATTCATGGTGCAAACAGCAGTAGAAACAAATATTACCTGCTCAAGCTACTCTTGTGGGTGAAATAATTCCAGGCACTGCTGTCCATTTGAAGCTAACTTATCTATGAGGAGGTGACAGAGGCCTGGACAGATTCTCTTAGGACTAAAATACAAATCTATGTACTTCAAACTTATCTTCCTTAATCATACAATAGTTTGGTGTACACACCACATTAAATTATAATGTACTATATTTGGATCTCATGTAACCCTATCATTCGAAAATTTAGCTTTGTGTTCAACACTAACAAACATTGATTTTATAAACATTTATTTAGTAAACTCCAGATAACCAAGCCATACTACCAAAAGTATGAACACTTTCCATGTTTGGAATGTTTTCTTTAAATAACATGACCTACCCAAAGAATACAGTATTCTGGAAATCCAATACAGGTAGTATTGGATTAATTTATGACTACAATTGAGCCCAAAATTTCTGTTGCTAGGCTAGACAGTTAAGTGAGTTTTGTTCCATTTTACAACCTTTCTTTCCACAGTTGTTAAGTGAACCACTGTGTTTGTTAAGTTAGAAACACAGTTGTTAGACACAATCTGGTTTCCCCATTGACTTCACTTGTCAGAAGGTCACAAAAGGCGATCACATGACCTCAGGACACTGCAACCATCATAAATATGAGTCAGTTGCCAAGCATCTGAATTTTGATTACATGACCATGGAGATGTGCCAACATTATAAGTGTGAAAAACAGTCATGTCATTTTTTTCAATGCCATTACAACTTTGAAAGGTTATTAAATGAATGGTTTTTAAATCGAGGACTACTTCTATAATCATGTGACAGGTGCTGAAGAAGTGTAGAGAATGAAACTTATTACTGTACCTGAAACAACAAAGGTGTCCAAACTGACATAGGATAGCACACTAACTTTTAGGGGGGAAAGGACAAAGGACCATTGCCATGTGCAAAACACTGATCAAGCAAAGTCCCTGGCAGACTTTGGGCTAGTCACTATTTCTTGCCCCAATCTGCCCCACAAGTTTGTTGTGGGATAAAATGAAGTGAGGTAAGTCTCAATGACTTCCTTGAAGAAAGGCAGAATAAAAAGCTAACAAACAACTAACTAAAACAGAATAAGGGATAGAGATGCCGATCTCCAATCATGCTACAGACATTACGTATTTATTTTGTGCCGAAATACAGCAATTGCATTCTTTAAAAGAACAACTGCATTTTTCTTAGAACAACTTGATCCTGCACCTTGAATGCTCAAAAAAAAAAAAAATTGCTCCCCTACCCCTTTAGCAAAACTGCTATTTAAAGAAAGGATGATTGTATCCTACACAAATACAAATGGTTGCGACTCATAAAATAAAGCGATTGTGTAGAAAATTCCAATAATTGAGCTTTTAAATGCTGCGGGCGTCCTGGTGTGCTGGGTTAAGGCAAACCATTTACTCTGAAACACCTTGATTCCTCAGGGCCCAGAAACCCTAATGATATAAGCCAGAATTTTCTGGGTTTTCCCCCTGTGGTTAGAGGGGGACTGTTGTTAGTTTAATTGCTAAGCCTATTCTAAAGCTTTCACTATGTCTTTTGTGTTTCTGCCCTCAAAATGGTGGATAGCTACTGCTGATTTTTAGCTATTGTAGTCAGGGGATGTGAGTTCTAAGACTCATAAAAAGAGCAGGTGCCCCACGCAGCTTTGGGCCTCATGTTTCTCACCTCTCCTATACAGAATCCATATATATCACATAAATATAGTATATGGATGTGAACATTGTACAGAAGGGAGGCACAAACATAAAATGATACAGGAAGACAGGTATGGAATTGTGCAGAAATGCCACTGACACTACATCATGTCACAAGATTAATGCCCACTGCCGCAACATATGGAGCCTAATAATTTTGCTTGAGGCTCTAGAAGCATTTTTTTTTGCCCAGCAATTCAAACTTAACAGTTTAGCTACTAGAGGATAATAGCTCCCCCTTAACAAAAGCAAATGCACAGCACTGTGATCTATGTCCCACCTCTCTGCTGCATCTGGAAAATCCTAAAACAAACTATCCCAAGGAGGCTAAGATATCTGAAGAGACATGGCTGGGGAAGGTTATCCTAAGAGTACATAAGAAAATTGCAAAAGGTTGCTTTTATTTAGAGAGACTGACTAGCAGGGTTGAATGTTATTATTAAGACCCCATATTTAAGAGTACTGTTCAGCAATCTGTGTTTGCCCTGAACAAATCTCAAATAAGTCAATGTTATCTGTATATATTTGCATACATTTACAAAAATTCAGAATCATGGTCCTCCAAAAATACTTATGTTATTTGTACCCCTTCCATCTTCATGACAGATTAAGGGAGCATCTCCACAAGCTTAACCCAGTAGAAACCTATTGCTTCCCATCTGCACACCAAACCTGTTACCTGCCACCAGTGATAAAGAATTCAGGGCTGCCATTTATCTGCACAGATTCCAGGAAAACTCCAGGAATTAATGAAGCCCCTTTCATTACTGTTATGCAAATGGGATTAATTTCAGCTGTTATGAATATGCAAATATTACAATTATGATCTAATTACCAGCACTTATGATGGGAAAATGGGCAAATGATAAAAAAAATCAGCCAAAGCAATCCAGCAATGGCAGATGGACATTGGGGTGTGAGGGTCAAAGGGCATTTGATAGCTGGTGGAGAAAAACAAAAGAAACAGAATAGCTAAGCAGGTAGGAGGGATGAATGATTAAGACATACATCGCAGGGAGGAAAGTACCGGTATGTGTTCCTCAGCCTTTTAGGGCCTCTTTGTTAGGCGTTTCAGAATCAAGATTGTAAAAACCAAGATGACTGCTAGATGGTAGCAAAGTTTTTGCATCTTCTGGGTTTCTCTGCTGCCCTCTAATGGTCATCTATATTTTTATAGCTCAGATATGGTAGCTCTATTTTTATGCCCTTTTTGTCATCTCTAGCTGCACAAAAAGGGGTGGGCTGCTATGGGGGTCGCCTGGGTTCGAGAAAATCCATAGCTTATGTTATGGTTGCTTCAGAGAACCTCCAAATCCCATCCCTGGCTGGCCCAGCCCCCCCTGCCCCCCCCCCAGGAGTCTCCACGCAGCCCATTTTGGATGTGAGATAAGTGCAGGGCCCGCACGGAGGCTTGGGGAGGAGGAAAAATGGGTGTTCTGGAAGTTTCCGGCCTCCGGACAGCCTCAGAAGCCCGGAGGAGGCAGTTTTTGCCCTCCCGGAGGCTTCAGGAAACTCTACGGAACCTGGAGAAGGTGAAAACTCCCCGCCGCCATGGTGCAGGAGGTTGACTAGGCCATGCCCACCATGGCCATGCCCACCCAGTAACCAGGCAGAGAATCTGTTGCTGAAATTTTTGAAGCCCACTCCTGCAAATAGCATTGTCACTTTGCCTTAATCTTCCCACTAGCATTGCTCTGCTATACAAGAATCAAGTTTTTCTCTCCTACTATTTCTCTCCATGCCAGGGAAAGCCTTACCAACTACATCCCCATTAAGAACCAAGAACTTAAGTTATCCAACCAAACTAATAGCACCATAGACCTTTTTCCCTAAAAAGGAAAGAACCATTATTTCCATAGTTGGAAGGAAAT